CTATGATCAGTCAAGTGTGGTTTGTTCATCCCTCCCCTTTCTTTACCATTCTTCCATTCAAGTTTTAGCTCCTTCGCAAATATCTTTTCTTCTATGTCAAGCTTCCACGCTTCTCTAATTCTCAAATCAACATTTACAACACATTTCCTCCGTATCATTTCTGACCACCAGTATTCTCCATAAAGTCACTGGACTTGGACAGTCTTTCCTGGATCGCGCAATTTCCTTTATACTAACTTTTGACATTATTCTTGAACAAATCTGCAGTTCCTATAAACCACATCAAAACCATACATCATTCTTTCTTCCATGTCCTACTGTTCTTGCCTTTTAAAATCCGAAATACTTTACAATAGAGATCTATCATTTCTATGTCAAGAATTTTGCATGAATAAACAGCAATCTTTCCTCACATAAAAAATACTTGCTCCGCAGCAGAACAGTGCCAGGAAGGTACACATGCTGCAAAGGCCCGGAAGACTGAGTAAAACAGGTGGACAGATTAATTGCAGAAATCTGATTAAAAAAAGTGATTCATCTTAAACTTATGAATCTACCAGTAATGGTATATATTTGAGCAGAGCCCTACTGAAACATGGATCTTTAAAAAGAAATTGCTTCTCATTCTATAAAGAGATCAGAAAGAGAGAACGGTCACTGGTAAGCATGACAGGTTACCATAAACAAAATAAATTCTTCCTGGAGCGTATAAATGTTGTATTAAATACATGTGTCAGCCTGAGCCTTTGAAGATCATTGTATTGCCTAAAAAGGCAACAGTTGGGCAATCTGAAGTAGAATAAAAATGAACTTTTAGCTAAGTTGAATGTGACTGTTCGAAAATACAAAACCTTTCATCTGGAATCTGTAGAAGCAAGACTCTAATGTAAACTTCAGCAGCAGCAGAAAGCAAGCTTTCCAAAAATTTTATTCCCTCATGGGAAAGGCTGTGTAATTAGTTAGACTTTATGGAGTATTACTTGACTTGCATTAGACACTGTAAACATGAATAAAATCTAGGCCTTTCAGCTTTAGAAAACGTCCCCTCCAAAAATGATACTTTGCTACAAACATGATGGTGAAACCTGCTCTCCACTATTTCCCCTGGTTCCTCAGCCATACTGCAAAGGCAATAATCTTAGCTGCCTGGGGGCCAACAAGCCTAGGGGGAAAATAAACAAACAAAAAACCCACAAAGGACAAGAAGAGACAATACACAGTAAAATGTAAAAAAGGATAAAAGAAAGAAGAGACACTTAGGACAATAAAAGAAGACATTAAAAAAAGATACACACACCATGCACACAAACTGGAGAAAATGTAAAAAGGTTAAATAAAAATAGATTCAAGGTAAGGACAGAAGAGAGCTGAAGACTTTAAATGCTAATGTGAAGAGCTGATCCAAAAAGAAAAAAATCTGGTAATGAGACATTAAAAAAACCTGATGATGTAAAAACAAAAGAGAGAATAACCAGGGATGAAAGTAAGAGCAGTAATCAACCAAACAGAATCTTTAGTTAATTGTAATGCCATGCAAAAAAAAAAAGCAGCAATCTGTGTTTCTAATTACTCCTTGTAGCCAAAGACATTATAGAGACAAAAGTAATCAAGTTTTGGGTTCCAAGAAACCAATGAAGATAAGAAACAAAAAGGACATCAATATAAATCAGCAAAAGGAAGAAACAAAAAAAAATCCTCTTTGTTCAGTGCTTCTGAATAAGAAAACATACTTTTAAAGAACTTGCTAATTTTTATGTCACTTTCCCACACTAAACTCACTTTTCTGTGTAGTAACTTGAGGAGTCAGCTCCCATCCTGATTCCACAGACACTGTGTAGGTGGGAACTGTCCTAATGGCAGCAGTTACAGAGCACAAAATACGGGGACTCTAGGGGTACCAGGTGGCAAACTCTAGTGCAAATACCCCAGTACTGTGGTAGCCTGTACTGTAATCTACCACCAGTTCTAACATTACCATTCCTACCTTCTTGTCTTACCATTCACCTTCAATAAACGATGCTCTAAAAAGATACACCTTTTCATGTTTGAGGGTAGCGGACTTCCCCAGTACAAGATGCTGTGCATCTGACAGCATGCGATTTCCATCGTACCCCTCAGTTTCCGTGTTCTTGTGTAATGCCTCTGGACAGCTCATGTTTAATCAAGAACATAACCCTCCTTCACACAGGGCAGACAGATGTTTCTGCAAGCTGGCCACGGCAGCACACCTACCACAAGTCGTACACATTTTAAACACCCCAATATTTGAAGTCTCTTTACAATCTGTGCACTTGAAAGTCCTCATCATGGAAGATGATGGAAATTACCTTATTTCAGATGCTTTCCTTAACAGAAGACATGAATTTGGAACTCAGGAAGAGTAAGAAATCTGGGTACTCTTCATTTTACGCCTCTTCTCCATAAGCAATAAAAAGAAACTGCATGAAGGTTTCAATCCCTCCTCCTTTATGGCCTTAAACAGGTTCAAAAGTAAACAGGGGACATTTGTATCTGATTTTTATAATAAAAAAGGTTTGACCTCACACCTACCTGCAGGGAGATAAGTGCACACACAGGCGCAAAGGAACTCCACATATCACTTCATAAAACACCTTGAAACATACTACAATACGTATAACGTTTGTGCCCCTAGAGCTTCTGCGCTCGAGCACCCTTTGGCTTTTTATAACTAAGCACTAGTGTTCAAAGGCTTCTTACTACAAGCACACTCTAATGCCAATGACAGCCTCCTTATCCTTCTAGCTATATAGCACACCTTGGCTTAATGCAGTCAGACTTCTCCCCAGTTCTAGTGGCAATAACATAAAATTTCTCAAGCAGTAAAGAAGGTCCTTCACTTAGCACAGTCCTTGTTTCTTTTATGTGCCTTTTCTATGTCACTTCCACTTACTCAGCATGCATACTGGAATATGTATTAATGCAGATATGCTGTCAATCTGCATTCAGCTTGTGAGAATTCCTGAATCTGTAACTCAGAGTAACTGGACCATCCCTCTGATTGGATAAAGTCTAAAAGCAATACAAAACCACAGGGAACTCATCCTATTGATGATCAGATTCCAGGTCCAACAGCCTGGACCCATCTCCTGCCCTTTGCATTTCCATTCATCGGAGACCTTCAAGTGGAACCTGTACTCCCTCTCATGGTGGTTTCTTTCACCACAACTCACGCTGGTTTAGGAATCTCCAGTGGTTTCAGATCCTCATTCAGCTGCTGGCCATTCCCAGCTGCCGTTGCCATTCAAACAGCAGTAACAACATTCTCAAAACTGAGGTCTAAGGGAAGGGGTGGGTTGTTGCCATTAACTCAAACCAAACATCAGATAGCCTCTTAAGTTACTTAAACTTCCTCAAGATCCACAAAACTACATGAGCCTCTTCACTCAGCTATACAAAGGTCAGACTAAATTTTTTTGATCATCCTTATTAAATATACATATATGTTATAACAAATGGTTTAGGAAAAAGATGATCCTTTCTGTAGCCCCATTTTCTGCATAACTTTCCTTAGCAGGCTTGCCAGGCTTTTGAGTAGTTTGTCTGTTGTTATTGCCCCTAAAACCCAGCAACATACGTATGTGTCTTTCTTCAGAATCTCAGTTTGGAGTAAAAATATTCTTTATCAATAAAATCATCCAGCAGCTCTTCATTTTCATTATATTCCTTAACATGGGCGAACATTAGCAGTGTTTCATTTACTAAGGAGTGAATGGATAAAAACAAACAAAAGAATGCCTCATTATTCTATTTTCAAGCCTCTTGTCCTTTGTCCAACGCTTATGACAGATATAATTAACAATTCTGGCTTCAGAGGCTGAAAAGAGACCAGTAATGAAGATCAGATTACATTCACAGTAAAATACACAACATTTACCCAAATTCCATTGTTCTTCTCCTGTAGAAAACGTGAAAGTGCAGGTATTATTAGTGCACTAATATTTGTTAAGAACCTCTGGTGAAGGGATTATCCTTATCTACTTTAGTAATATCGGATTTTCATACTACATAGGAAATGAACGAAGGACAATAAAAGAATATGCAGAATAGTAACTTGTAATGCTCTCTGCAATCACTGTGCATAGAAAGGTAATCTCAGTTATCTGTTAACCGTACTGTTACAAGGTCATCTACTAAACCTGAAACCATTCCTTTTAGTTTCTAAACGGACACAAAGATTTTCCTTTGAAAAAAAATCTCCGAGACCCATAAAATAGGAGTAGAGTAATAAATGCCACGAAGTTCTGTCCTACTGTGTTCATCAAACAGAGATAAGGGCTGATATGAGTACAATCTTGAACAGCTGATTCTTGGAAAACGTACTGTGAAGTGTCTGCACCATGTTTGGAAGTGGGGCAGAAAAAACAGTTTTGACTATTTTTTCCATTGAAAATACAACTAGGAAAGGGAGAACAATTCCTTGAAAAATCTGAAAAAAAAAAGAGGAGATAAGCGCCAGCAACAAAAGACCCACCTTCTAGCTATCACAATCGCTACACAAAGATAGGTTTGATTTGATTTCAGAGGCCATGGCTTACTGACACCGGCAGCTCCTTTGAAATCTTAAAAGATTACAGCACACCCTTAAAAAGGAACTTTTGCTTCATAGATACCTGAAATCCTAGAATGTCCTTTATGAACAGTTAACTCCAAAATTTGTTATGCAGACAAAAAAAGAGATCACACAGTACACTACATAATTAACAGGTAAAAGCTTAAGATGAAATAACCACTTTATAATATACTCTCAACTGCTCTACACACTGCTGTCTCAAAGATTTCAGTATACAACTGTCCCTCAGAGGAAAAAATCTTTCTTTGAGGCAGAAAGTTACACAATACTCCTCTAAGAAGAACAGTTAAGACTGAAAACTGTAGGGTAAACCCATACTTCTTCCTTTAAGAACAATAACCTAGAACATAACATGGCATCACAGCAATTATCATTCAAGCAACAGGTGTGTGTATATATAGGTTCTCACCAAATGTATGAGTGTCATGTTCCTGGTGACTTTCTCTCTGCAAGGCTATCATTTTTTTATGAGCATCAACCCACCATGGTTTGTACTTTAAGACATGCTGAATAGCTTCATCTTCAAAAAAATCAGCTCTAGGGGGAAAAAAAAAAAAAAAGTCATATGCTATTTATTTCAGTTTACAGTATATGTGGGTATATTTTAGTGCATATATAGAATACACCTGACTTGGCTCCAGGCTATTTTCCATAGATTAGAAATACAACAAACCTGACCAGTATCTGTTCTTTCACTTAAACCCAGAAAATAATCATTATTAAAAGCATAAACAATATTCTCTTATCTTACAGTACCCCTTCCTTACTTCCTCCACCTTTCCTGAGCCACCCAGAAGCCTAGGAAATTGATAAGCCTGCAGCATGACATGAAGGTGAACAACCCTGATTTGTTCTGGATGAATCTAAAGGAAAACATTCCAAAGGGAAGACTTCTCAGAGAATGTCACTAACAGCAAACTTGATTTTACTGGGAAGCTCTTCCACTTTAAAACTGCATATACTTTGGGGAAGAAGGGTACGCACCTGAAGGGCAAAGGTAAAGCAGGGATAGGGACTGACTTCTAGGTAAACAAAGGCATGCTGTAGCAAGGTAGAAAAAGAAGAGTTGTACATGAATTCTGGAAGAGAGATTACCTCCATCCATCTCAGCACAAAGCCACTGTGGTAAAAATCTCAATACCGTAATTCTGAGAGGATTTATACTAAAGGATTCAAGTTCTAAACCTCCTCTTATCATTTTAGCTTTTTCTTCAAGCCAAACAATAGTATAAATACTGAGAACTGAAAAAGAATGCAAGAAATTTCTTAATACCTTCTTAATCATCATACAAAACCTGCCCAGTCTATTGAACACACTGTAATTTGCTTTACTCTCACACTGACACATTTTTTGATGCCTTCCTTCAGTGTCTTTATACAGTAACTTAAAGGTATCAGCCAGTGTACATTTTCCTCAAAGGCAACAGAACACTTCTGTTCGCCACCTTTTCTCCCAGAGCTGTCCTTCGCATCAGGGTACACAGGAAAACAATTTTTGTGGAAGAAAGGTTGGTACCATCTGTTCTGAAGCATCCAAAACACAACCATTAAACTAAATGGTTGTAGCTCATCTACCAGGCTAGAACACAGGGTCTAATTACTGTAATCTGCATCACATTATAGGTTAGGAACTACTTCAGTTCTAGTGAAATGTACTTCCAGGTGATGTTTCCAAAGAACGTTTCTAATTTCTGTGTGCTACAGAAAGACATGCAGCTGCCTCTGAAACACCTGACTGGGGAAAAACTCCAAAGTTTGCAAAGATGCCTTCTGAAACAACTCAAAGTGGGTTAAGCCTACCTCTCCCCAACAAAACACACCACAAGTACTAATTCTCCCTGCTGGGGACTACACTCTTCTCCCACCAAACCAGTCTTGCAGGAATCACTGTATTAATAGATTTCATGGCTTCAATTTAGTTTACTTATCTGGAAGTCTCTGAACCTAACTTGACCTGAAACACTCCAACTTGTATGGCACGAAGAATCATTTTCACCTTTGTTACATGGGAGGAAGCACAAAGAAACACAAAGTCTTGGTTTGGAACTTTTCCTCATTCTGCTGTAAAAAAGTTTTCATGTGATGAAGGCAAAAACCAAAGCGGCCTAGATAAAATCTTCATAACTTCAAAACTCAGATTTACTTCCTCAACGACCAGGATGGTTCAGTAATCCTTGTTTCACAAGGGGAAAACAAAGTTCTGACATCGACAACCCAAAATGCTGGCAGGGATTGGCTACTCAGCTGCTGAAGAGGTGAACTATGAAACAATGTTCTGCAACAATTCACAGCAGCCCCTGCTTGAATACTTAAGCAGTAATTAAAGAGTAGAGTAACCCCAAAACAGATAAGCATGTCTTGTGTCAGTGTCACACTTAAGAATACCCTCTAAGGCCTGCTGTGATGAGAGAAAGAAACAGACAAATAAAAAGAAAAGCTATTATTTCCAAAAGTGATCTCAAAACCAATTGCTTATGAAAAGAAAAAGTGAATATACTTCAACTGAGGTACTTTTACTTGACCAGGTGAAGTAAATCAATACTCACAGGTAATGATCAGGCTCAAACTTGGCAGCCTCAGCTGCCAGGCGTTTCCTCCTACGTTCATCTACAGGAGTTTGGTCTGGATCCCTGATATCAATAACATCACTGAGTTCATCCTACAAATGGAATGAAAACTTTGTGACCAAGACACAGGTATGATATGCAAGATTTATTTAGTAAGAGATTAGGAAGGATGCTTATCAGCATAACACTGAAATCCCTAGTTGCTCTTCAACCTCCTGTTCAACTCTTCCAAATTCAGGCTCCATTGTGCAAATACAACATCAAAATTCCAAGGAAATTAAATTATTCGAAGCTCCTTAGAATTCATGATACTACGAAGTCTATTCAGGCTGTTTTATCATAAGGCAGGCAGGTTATTTTGCATTACGATAAAATTTGCAATGTTTAACAAAAGCACACAACCACAACAAAGACAACATAAAATCCATAGATACTGTTATGGTGACTTTTCAGATTACTCCCACACTCTGAAGTGGCCATACATTAATTAATGGGCAGTTGCAGTGCCCTTTTAAGCATCATTAAGTAGAGGTACATTAATGCTGACGGGAAATTTACTTCTTCACAAATTTCATGGTAATAAACCAGTGTATATATCCTAACAGAAAGTAAATACTTTCTCCACAAATAGCAATCCTTCTGCTCCAAACCCTGAAAACACTACAATTCACGTAATAATGACTTACAGTTACATAATTAAGTTGCTTTAAACAGCTACAACTTAAATTGCTTAGAGTAAGAACACTATAAAAAATTATCATCTACTATTTTAATAAAAGCTCTGTATACTATGAATATTATTACACTACCTAGCATGCTACAGGTTGTAGATCAGCTTCCATCTATTCATGAATTAAAGAAACTGCTGAACACACAAGAGCAAAGTAACTGCATTTTAAAGCTCCTATCCTACCAATTAATCCAGAAAAGCAAATTTCAGTGCATCGGCATAACCCTAGTAAATCCCACAGATATCACGTGGGCAGACACCTTGAAGAGTGCACACTTCAAAACTTATTGTCCTGTGGGAAAATCAAGTCTAAAATAAAAAGTACAAAGAGAAAATTACCGTGAATTTCACAATGAAAAAAGTTTTAATGCAACAACCATAACAGGACCTACAGATTAGCCAGCTTTATTTTGTATTTTTTTTTTAAATTGAGTATTTTTTTTTCAATTTAAACTAAAATTCATAGCATCTGAAATATACTGTACATTGATAATAACTAAGTTTGAGGTCAGAATAGAAGACAATACCAAATATAAAGAAAAAGCATTAACAGCAGACTTCTAACAGCCTGTAGACTGTTAGCAGCTTGCCAGAACTACTCACGTGGCACATGGCCTTCTTCATACAGGCCGCCTTCTCTGTGCCTGCACAGGCTAGCTGAACCGTGCTGGTGACAGCAGCCCACTCCCAGAGGCCGTTTTGACCAAGGACTCCATTCAGCCCTTTCCTCTAACACTAAAATTATTGTAAAAACAGACCGGCCTGGTGACTCTGCTGCACAATTAACTCAGTCTCAACCACCCCCTGCTTCTGCAGGAACAAGGATTTGTCTGTACTACTACATGCAAAAGCAGAATATTCTCAGTCACAGTAAGGGGATAATGGACAACAGTTACCTAATGATCCCCTCCTGACCATGGAATGGGCCAGGAAGCCTACCCAACCAGAAAGTTACCCAGAACTTCTACAATAGGAAAAGACAAACATGCATCTACCTGCAGCCGCTGGAATACCCCTGACCGCAAATTCCCAAATCCGTAACGGTACTGTAGTGGTAGAGTGCTTTCTGCACTTTCTTCATAAGGGATCTGCTCTATTTCCCAGTCAAATTCTTCTTCCTCCTCCTCAGACAACTCAGCAGAGGCAGCTGTATATATTGCATGGTCAGAGAAAGAAAATTACTACACAGAAAATATATATGATTTAATAGAGAGGCAAACACTGATAACGCAATAAGCCTTTCTCATTTTACTACATCTTTTAAGAAATCTTATACAACACTGGGTCATACAGGCAGATGCTTCCGTCAGTAATCCATAGGTCCTGCTCCAAATTCTCCTACTTTCAAAAATGAAGACCAGGAACACTGAAGTTTTTAAGTATACTCCCTCAAAGACCCAGGTAATTGTTGTACTGATTACAACAGGATCAGAATTTGACACTAAGAGAACCCTGACAGGAGCAAAGTGATGTTATCAATAATTTTAGATAGATATTAAAAAAATAAACACAGGTAGTCAAACCTTCTTGTCTGTTAAATACTGATGTTAAGCAAGTCATCCACTAGAACCTGTGGTTTTGATTAGTTTCCCCCATTTCAGCTAGAAGTCCAGTTGTGCTAGCTTGTAGAAAGCAGAAGACTCAATCAAATGTGTGTGTATTATACAGCCACTAGAGGGGTACAAAGATCTACAGAGGATTAGCCTATGTTAAGCACATTTTGGAAAAAAGTAAACATAACTAAGCCTATAAAGATGATGTGTGTATCACCTACAACCCATTTATTTCTATACTTATCCATACTGTCAGATTCATTCACACTCTTCTCACACCTTGGACTATACAATACCAGAAATACTGTATTTTTCTATATATATCACTACCTAGATCTGTAACTATTTCATTATATACACATATCACCAGTATAAACAAGAATTTTTTTGTCATACCTATTTCTTCTACTAAAGGTTTTGCTGATCTTGATTTTTTTGGTGCTAAAAGAGACGTCAGCATGTCCAGTCCCTCAAAATATTGGCCAGGAATCTCTTTAGGTAACCGGATTGTAAAAGTTCCTTAAAGGAAAGTCAGAATATAGTTACTGCATTAAAATATCCAAGACAAACAAAAACGTGCATTTATCCTCTAATGAAAAAAGCTCACAGAAACTGGGACACACACAGGTAGCATTTTATTACGCATCAACCTCTGTGCGTGTTTTTAACCTTAACTTCACAAGTTTCACAAAAATCAAAGATTGTAATAATAAAGCACAAAAGAGAATATTTAACCAATTGTGGTCTCTTGACTCACATTGTATAAACACAAACCAGCAGAATACAAGCTTTATTTTATTTTTAATCCTTCCACCAATCAAGCAGTCAACAGAAGATCATCAGAAATTACATTCAGCGATCTGTTTATTGTCTTAAGTCAAGCACGTTAATAAAGGCTTTGCAAGCAGCAAATTATAGGGTTTATTGCTGGGTTTCTAAAATGAATATATTAATTCCAGAAGGTACATATTTTATTCCAGAAATACCTTCCACCTTAAGGTGTGGAGAAAGGCTAATGTCTTCTCTCTTAAGACATAGCCAAGAGACTGCCTCAGGATTATCTCATCTCTACTCAGCACTACCTGACTTCTTTGCAGATTGACTAGACTAATGACCTTGGTACAGCAACACGGCTAGCCCCCACAGGGCTTGAAGAGGAGTTGTACATAAATTTTTTCATTATTAGGACAGTTCTGAACACGTCCTTTGTGCTTAAGGATGGCCTAAGTACGTACAATAAATCCTGAACAAGATTTTTTTTTTATACTACATAATATACAAGAAACTTTACATTTATTTACAGTATTGTTTACTTCACTAAAAGTTATACGCAATTCCAGTGCAGCACAGTATAAATTATTGGAGAGTTAGTAGCATTTTTAACGACACATATACTAATAACATTAACTAATACCTTTGTCTGTATCATAAGATGCTTTTTCTCTGCCATCTTCTACAATTCTTCCAGGAAGTGTCAATCTGCGGGCAAAAAATGAGATGCCTCATTGAATGCCTGACTAATTCTGCAACTTAACATCTCAGCCTACAAAAATGTAAGGGACATTCCAAAAGCAGCACAAAGGACTTAACTACATGATTCCTTTTGATAGTAATGGAAGTCATGCAGTTAAATCCCCATGTACTGCAAAATCTTTTTCCCTAACTACTGGCACAAGAGGTCAGCACCTGAGATAGAGAAAATCTGTGACTCCTGGTTTCCCAGCTTGGATGAGGTCACAGCCACCACAGAGATGACGCCCTTGGCACTATGTGCAACACTTGGAAGATTCTGCAATTTAAAAACTCTAAGCTAACCCACAGTGACAGGGTACAAGAGCTCATCCAGAGTTCTTGTATTGCTTATTCAGAATAACCAATTCACTGCATTCCAGCAGTCCACTAAAATCCCTTGTGGTCTACTAATGTATATAAGGGAAGCATGTCCAAGAATACAGGAAACAGAAAATAAGAAAGGTTAATAGCTCATCAGCTCTTACATGCCAAAGGTTCTCTTAACACTTTACTACTGAGATTGCCTCCTGTTCCTTTTCTATAGTGTAGTGCGGAGCTTGCTGTCTAGAGAAAAGATACAGCCTGGAATCTCACTTCTTACTGCCTCCCTGGAATCTCACTTCTTACTGCCTCCACTCTCATAACTTTTCTTGCCTTATGTTATTACGAGCGCATCAAAATCCATTCTTCACCAAATATACTGTATCTGGCTCTCAACAGGGAAAAGACAGACTTATTCTACGCAACTTGCATACATCCGGAGAATTATCTTGCCATCTTACAATTAAAAATCTATTGTAAAGTAAATTTAGAACAGTATTTCTTTAAACTCCCTTTAAATTATTTAATGCCTAGAATAAAAGAGGCCAGATCCATAAAAACAATTCTTTGCACAAAACAGGCTGTCTGCAGTCTACAGTGTAAGAGCTGCAGATGAGGAATGCTCTGAAGGGACCAAAATGAAGTTAATTCTCTACTGACTTTCCTGTTTTATGAAGTTCAGGTTTTTTAAAATCCTTCCACTACTTGCCTGAGAAAGTACGGCTTAGCATAAAATTTAAAATCTTCCCCTTCAAAATACACATCAAACTCTGAAGCTCTGGCATAAGGTACTTTGATTATTATTGTAAGAAAATCCGGATCCTGGGTCAGCTCAAAAGCTGGAGTTATCATGATGAATCCAGCAGGAAAAGCAGCCACTGGCTGTCCGGCCCTATCAAAACAGGAAAACAAGAAAAGATTATTTTAGTTTCCAATTTATGAGAGCAAATAGTGTCTCTTCAAAATTCTGTAAAGAAGAACGTTCTCACAAAATTATCTTCCACGTACTCAAGAAGAAAACACTCATGACAACAGCAACAAAACAAAAAAAAAGTGTTATCAAGAATCTGAAGGTACCACCTCTCTGCACCTTCATGAAACAATTGAACATAAATGCATGCAAACTTTTGGAGCACAGGAAAGCACCTATTACATTCCACATAAAAAACCACACTAAATTCAGTCCTAGAACTTGGCAGCTTTTTGTAACTGTTGTTTATTATTTCACACGTAGCAGATGTTAGATCTCTACAGTTCATTAGTGAACTGATCACAAAACACTATTAGAAAATGTTGAAAACCAGGTAATACTTCCAACAAATTAGAGCTGTATTTTATAATTCATACACATATTAGCCAGAATACAAGCAACAGATTCAGTACACCCTAGATTATCTGAGCGTACACACTAAGCATGCTGCTCTTCATGTCAAATTTAATGCATAAGCCACTGGACAGTACACGCACAGTAAGTCAAAGATGCTCCTTTGCAGCGGGCTCATGACACAAGAGCTGTCTGAGAAGTTTAAACACGAGCAGCTGACACACTCAGGGTGTCCAACGCAAACATGCTCACTATTTTGATCAGTTTGCAGGGTTTTCACAAACCTTGGAGAAGCAACCTAAAAACCTCACATTCCTTCTGAAGATTCAGTCAAAAAAACATAAATAACACAGTAGTTGTAACGGAATTAAATTATCTAGAGAATATATTGAATCTCCTTCACCAAGTGCTTTTAAGGATGTTTTAGGACAACATCCATCAAAACCGTATGTATGTATGTCCATAGGCACGCACGTATATTTAGCATGAGAAAAGGAATTTACATAGTACCATTCACCTGATACACAACTTGTCTGACTCTTCATTAGCTTTGAAATGCAAGATAATTCCTCAGGCTTAACTCAGAATCCAATTTTTTAATGGAGGGGACCACACGCTTTTGAAAATTAACTTTTTAAGAAAAAAAAAAATTTACCAAAAAATGCAAACCAGAACTATTATCTGGGAAAGGGCTACTTTTCACTGACTTTCACAGTTAGCTTTCTTAAACATACGCCCATTCTTACAACTTCATGAGCAAACATGGAGCAGTCACCACCAACAGGGCTAAATTAACAGCTTACCCACTTTTTTTTCACACAGGTAATTCATACAATTCATAATCTACCTCAGCTGACAAGTGTGAAAGAAGTGAAACTCCCTATTTCACCTACCACTTGCTTCCAGGGCAACATTCCCACCCTTTCCAGGCCGAGAAGCTGCTGTGTGCTTATCGAGTTGTAACCAGATAGGAAAGTCCTGGCTTGACAAACACTTGCAAGCCGATGTATGTTTCTGTGGGCTTTCTTCGCATCTATTTAAACACCACACGCTGTCTAACAACACGGGACAGAAGGTAACAAAAATCCACTAGCTCATTTAGACCCTTCAAGGATGACAGGCCAGCCTGCATCTTTATTTTCCCCAAATCAGAGGTTCAGAACATCTACCAGCAGCCCCAAAGCCAGGCCCCGCTGTTCCCGCTCCGAGCTTCTCAGCGCTGCTGCACTTTTGGCCTCCCCGACACAAATTAATGACCCCAAACTAATCCGGAGGTCCCAGCACAAACCCCTGGCATTTCACAGACCACGGCCTAGGAACCGCTGGCGTCCGTCCCGCAACAACGCGAAGCTCAGTGCCCAGCAGCGCTTGCTCCAATCTCAAAGCAGGTATCCCAAAATAATTAAGCTTCCCAGCATTTTCTGTGAAAGCATTAGAGGGAAAAAAAGAAAATAATCAGCACGCAGAACTGAAATGTTTCTGTTGCAGCAAGGGGCTGGCGGGAGAAGCGGCGAACGCGTGG